GTGGTACCCGACTGGATACTGGGTGCGGACCCAGGAGTCAAGCCAATCACAGCGCGAGTGGGCTGGTCGACGGGGGATGGGGAGGCGGAAGCATCTGGATATTTCATCTTCAGAAAAGGGGAGTAGCAACTGGAGTGGAGGGCTGGGGGTTAATGAGTACTTCTAGGGATTTGACTTGCGAAGTAGCCGGCAAATTGAGAAGTTTTGCGCATGTTCACAATTACACCTAGTATAAAGTAAATTCTGAACGATTGAACCCTGCTGAATTTATACAATTATACCATATGTGATAGAATTAAGTACACTAAATGACAGCACCTTTTAGTCATACTAAGAGGTAGACTAGAATGGGGCTGATACATATTTGTCATTTAACAAACCACAAAAAGTGATCTCTCCCGAGCAGCCACTACGCTTGAAGTTATGCCCGATTCTTTGCACATTAATGTGCCTGCTCTTCTGAGCATACTTGCAGTAAAATTTGCTCATGTGGACAAACCAAAAGGTTCGGCGAGCGCCGCTTAGAGCGCAGTCTTCGCGTTCGATGCGATTTATGGAATTGCCAGTGATGATGCCGAAGTGTTTCCAATGGGAGCGGTGTCAGTGACTCTCCAAGTCCCAACTAAACTATTCCGACGATAAACAAACCTAGCCAGTTCCTAGGAATGACGTGCTTACTGTGCTCAGCCTTCTCGCTGCTCGAGTCTCAAACTCTGTGCCCTTTTGCACTCTTATCCACACCACGTCGGAATTACCGTTTAAACGGTCTGAAGTCGGTCGCCTCGCTGATGCTCACACCAATTCTAACGCAAGCACGAGAGATTTACTCAGCTTCTCCAGCCCACAGTCCAACCTCGCCAGAAGTAGCGCCTACGCTTGAAGCAGTAGTCGAAAAACCCGCACTCCATGAAAAATATACGTTTGGTGCTGGAAGGTAGCAAATATGTCGTGTAATATATAACGACGTTCTCGAACGAGATAAAGAGCCACCACTGAAGCTCTCGTAAAGCCTTACAAATTGACCTTTGCAAAGCGGGCATCCGTTGAAGGTGTCGTCTCATGCTAGAAATAAGAGCGCACAAAGAACACACGCGGACGACGAGGTGACAACCTATCACCTCAAGTTGTTTCTGTCAATCGCCCATCAAAATCTGATTGATTTTGCTACGAAGTGTAGGTGGGCAGATATCAGCAAGTCGATTTTGATCTAGAACTCCTCCCCCACTAAAACCGGGTTTACTGTGTAGCGGTGTCAAAGTCAGAAGAGGGGTTCACCAAACCAGGCATCTACTGCGTTATTAAACGCAAAGTGAATGAGAGGGTGCAATTTGTTTTAGCATCACGAAATCACCAAGAAGGTGCTACAAAGATTATTTCACACTGCGCGAGTCACCTTTCCGTATCTACGCCTAGCTAGCGGACGGTCAGCGGTTGAAATATCGAATCTGCTTCCAAATCCTATTACCAAGTTTGTCGGAACTTTTTTGTGATGCGTCAATGTAATGTCAGCCGGCAAGTCATCGTGGCGAGAGCATTTTTATCGAGAATCAGAATGACTATCTAAACATCGCTGAAAATTGCAAATCGATTCATGTTTTTCAAGCACAAAGACAGCAACATCAGTATTATTGGACGCGTCATTTCGAAAACCGAGAATTTAGCCCGTAGTGATCGCCGGAAAAAGCAAGATTGCCAAAGGGCTGCCTCATATGACGAGGATTGCGCCCGTAGGCACGCTTCACACGTGCTCACATACGTGCTGAACCACTTTTACATGTCAAGTAATCCGTACAGCACTTATCGATCAGTATCTTTCTTCTCTTCCGGAGTGGCCACCCAAAGAACTGTCATATTCACCGTACAGCATCCCGCACTTGAGGTCATCAACATAATGCGGCATCACTACATGCTGATGCCATCAAGGTCAGCGATGATCTAGCAAGCCGTGGTGTATAACATAGCAATGCAGGCATGCGTGCGCTTCGGTGAAGCGGCATCAGATGAACACTTTATTGAGATAAGATTCCAGTAACGTTACACTTGTTGCGTTCGACGCATACGCTCAACGACATCACCGTCGTGACATGCGACAATATATTGTAGAAGCGACGCGAAAGCGCGTATTAAGTCAACCCGGCATGTACCTTATCTCAGAGATTTATTTGGAAAAAAGATAATCGTGTTGCAATACCTCATGACAGATTTGTAGCGATATCGATATGAGCATCGACTCTTAATCCGTACAGATCACAAAATGCCTAGCAGGTATACCCTGGATTTGTCGAAAGCATAATCTATTGCAAGTAATTCCTTGTCAGAAGAAATGTGGTATTCTTCTGCCGCTTAGAGCTAGCGAGACTAAGACGAGATCGCGCGTTCATGATCATTGACAGCTGCTTGAAGAAATGCGCAGCCTGTTGCAAAGGCTGAAGCGTCATAGACGACGTGGAATAGTGAATAGTTGATATTGACTCGAAACAGCCAAAATCGGGGCAAGTATGAGGCTTTATGTCATGGCCTTGAAGCCCGTCTCTTTCGCCGCATCACAGCAATATTTCGTTTTCTATTGATCTTGGTGAGGGGTCGTGCCACACTGGCATAGTTTGCAGTGCCCTTGTGTCAGCTTCTTGCCAGACCAAGTCATATCCTCGAGTCCTTCTGAGAGCGAGGCACTGGTCATCTAAGGGTTTTACCACGAGATCTTCTAAAAGATCCTGCTCTTTGACAAATGGATTGTTGCCGGCGCCAAAAACAAACTTATCAATATCGGCAAATAGCTTTCAGAGCGCATACACTTGAGCACTGCTCGCAAGTGTCTAATGCGGGTCTTCACATCCTACTTCGCGTAGCCTGTATGTCTATGAATGAACATATTGGTTTGTACATTGTACATGGCCATGACGTGGCCTGAAAAGCTATGTCACCAGACTAGGAACATCATTGGTGCAAAAGATAGTCCCTGTGATATTATCAGCTACACTAAAGCATCCGGCTCAGTAAGAAACTGCTGTCATCAACCAGCAGTTAGTAAAATATAATATATCAACCAAGTCTAAAGCACAAAAGATAGCGCAGTCGACCGTGCTGCTATGTTGCACATCCTCTATAGGATCGGCGTTCGAGACGGGATCGTGGCTGCGTTTAACGCGCACGATCGCAAAATTTTCCCCAAAAAATACCACTAAACTCTCGCACACTAAAAGTCGGCACCGGATGCGTAGATCGACTTCTCATACCAAGCCTGCTTCATGCATCTTGCAAAAAAGCGTTTAAGAAGACGCACTGTCCGTTAGAACGACTTTTGACGTCTGATGCAACATTTATTTCCAGTAACCAAATCGAGTTTATGTCGCACTCCAGACATTACTTCAACAAAGGATAGAGACGGTCCGTGTGAGCCTTAAGAATACCTGCCTTACTCCTTGTCGTCAGAACTTTGCGAGATCCTCAATAACATATTTGTTTATAACGGATGGAGAGTTCAGCTTCTCCTCTGCCAACCGTATTGATCCGGCGAACCTCAACGTCTTGAGAATGCTTCCACATATCACCTTTCAATGATATCTCCAGCTCTACCAGGGCTGCTATTGAAGAAAAGGGAGAGAAATACAACTCTTAGGACCACCTTGGTCACTGCAATCACAAATAAATAGTCTCTCTTACTCCCACCGTTAAGATTCAGTACCAGTTGCATCGTGGCAAGAACAAAACAGTTTGTATAGAGCGAACTTTACAAGTAGCAGCGCAACGCTCCAGCGCTTTGGCAGCGTCTCAGTGCAGATGCTGCGAAAAACGTCTTCAACAACGCGATTCACGCGCTCAGTTTGACCTTCGGTCTGCTGTTTACATAGTCAACTTGGTACCCAGCACCCTAGAGATTGAAGACCAAAACTTCCCAGTGAAGCGTGGTCTCTGTCAGAAACAACTGGCTTCGGGAGTCCATGTTGTCGAAAGGCACAATCCACAAACAGTGACGCTGTTCCCACACCGACGATGGCGCCGCAAGATGAGCTATCGTGCTCAAATGATCCGCACAGACCACCACACCCGGGTTACCCGCCGATTCCTTCGGCAGGCCAAACACAAAATCCATCCTCATGAACAGCCAACACCCGGAGGGTATCGCTACACTAGCCAGCGTTGCCACCGCGTTCGGAGAGAGTTTTACCCTCTGACACGTCTCACACGTGCGCACATATGTGCTCGATCATTTGTACAGCTTGGACCACCACTCACAGAGCTGTAGACCTTCCCATGACCGAGATGACCGCTGAGTGGGGTGTCGAGGGTCTCATAGAGGATACAGCACTTTATATTCTCATCGGGAGGAGTAGCGTATCCGTCTAGTCGGTGTTATAATACAGCAATCCATTGTTCAATGAATATAGGTGCAACCGTGCGCGCAGTCGCGCCGACAAGTTCATGCCCGAGTTTCCAAACTCCTTACTTCCGAGAGCCCGTAGCAGCGCTACGCATAAATTCATCACCCGCGTACGCGGCGCGGATCAAATCCGTCACAGAAGATGTCACTGCCTTGACATGAACACGCTCATAATTTGGTCTGCGTGACAACGCATCAGCCAAAGCATTCTACTTTTCTGGCTTATACTTCACCTCGAAGTTATATTCTGCGAAGAAGAAGGGCTACCCGGCCATCTTCTGCGAGAGGCGAAGCGACTGATTTGCAGTGCGTAGTGATGCATGATCTGTATAAATCACGAACGGCTTGGAACCGAGCAATTAAGCCCTGAACTTGACAAGTGCAAACGTCATCGCAAGTAATTCCTTGTCGTGAATTGGGTAGTTCTTCTCTGCAAACTTGAACTGGCGAGAATCGATCGCGACCACCCGATCTTGT